CATTTAGTGCGTGATTGTGCTTTTCTGGATGTCTTCAAGAAAAGATGGCAATAAGAATGTGTTTAGGTACAAGTCGTTATGTATCAAATTTTTTAAGTGTAGGTACAATAAAGAATCATCATAATTTAAATCTCTAGGTACTTATCATTTGTGTCTATTGTCACCAAAATTAAATTACGAATTACCTAGAAAATCTTGCACTTACCCTGCATCACCCAAAGGTCAGACTGGAAGAAAATGCGTGCGGCATTAAGTTCACCTTATGTATCTACACTTTGTGCATGAAACATATTAAAATAAATAAAATAGCTTATAAATAAGTTCTTGATCCCGTAGTTTGTTAACGCTATATACATTGTAATAATTGTATTACCTAACATATTAAACAGTAGCTTCTGCCATCGTCGTCGCCTGCGTTCCCAGGGTTAAAAAGCAGCCTATGTAGGTACTCCAGATCATACATAATCTACCTCTAAGTATTCCAAATTTAATTTCGGTCCGTTTAGCCGTTTTCAGGTGACTGAGTAACAAACATACACATTACACACAAACTAATTAAAAAAAAAAACGTTGCCTCACATTAGGATTTTCTCCTGTGTCGTGGGTGCGTTGACAAACATACAAGTTCACATACATAATGACATCCAGACCCGAAACAACAATTTGTGGATCACACAAAGTGTTGTTCCGTGCGGGAATCGAACCCACAACACGTTGCAAGGCAGCCGGTTGCCCCGCCACCGCACCAACCGTGCAGTCAAATTTATTAAATCGGTTCAAGCTAATAGTTTTTGCGCGATGCCGATGCGTGAACAAACAGACAGGCAGACAGATATTTTTAAATCTCATTTTTAGTTTCGGTGTTCTAGTAACACCTGTTACTTACTTTTTAATATTTTCAATGTACAGAATTTACATTTCTACATGTAGAGGTATATGCACCTATCACTCCTTTTATTCCCCGAAGGGATATACAGAGGTGTACAATTATATGAAACCAGTGCCGGCATAAGGGCCACTGACACCCCGGGCGAAATTATTGTGGTGCCCACTTGAGGAAATCAATATCAAGTGTTAGTTTTTTGCTGATCCCAAGTAAAATTATGTTAAGTATTTCATCTTTCCTTTAGCCTCCCTTACTCACAGCTAACGACGCGGACCACAAACCCTCAAATAATCCATCTACATAAAAAAAACTCAATTAAAAATATGCATATGCACAGAGCGTAGAGCATAGTTCTGAGGGTTTGCACCAGGAGATCCAGAGAGGCCATCGCCCCATCACGACCCCCCTAACGCCGGCACTAAGAAACAATGACCTCTTGCAAATTATGTTAATATTTACGTTATTAGGACGAATTGTTTACTACACACCGCGCACAATTACCTACAGACTTTGTTGGTGCTCGGTAAAAATCTTTTTAATGCATAGTCCGACCCAAGATTCCAACCTAAGGTCATCGAAACGCTCAAGATTCAATATAATTATATTATAAATGCTGAATTAAGGAATATTTATACTCCCTTACTGGAGAAGCGTATGTAAGTGTCATAGCAAAGACGAGATCTCGCCAATTAAAAAATAGTATATATAATTCAGAGTCTGCAACTGTGTTCTGGCTATGGTCATTAAGTCATTCCTATTGTACGGACCCCATAATTAATCAAAGTAGTTATAACTTTCACTACCTAATTACATGGCATGTTTCTCTACTCAACGGTTCGAGAATTAAAAGGCGTGATGTTATCCTCTGTTAAAGAAGTTATGAAGTTTCAGTTGTAACTGTTGTCTATGTAATAGTTTTAACCCTATGTAATCGTTTGGTTTGCTACGGGAATCATGATTTTTTATATGTATGGGGGCTCTTATCTCCGTTCTCCAGCGAGGTAAAAGTCGTCGTAATAGGTAATAAAGTAGATATACCTCTAGATCATTCTCTTTCAAACAAAATAAAGGTACTGTACTATAACAACACTGTTGATTCAACGATCAATCCGCATTCCGTCATAATCCTTTGTTTTGTAATAATTAATCCTAAGTATCTATTTTTACTGTACTGTAAAATAATTGCCATAAAAATAATGGTGATGACGAATTTAACCATTCTAAAGTAAATAAGGTCTGCTATAATTAATAAAAGATTCATGCATTATTACATTGTGCAAATATTTATTGATGACTTAGAAATAATACTTAATTCAGATATTGTCGTTGTTGTCATATGCAATATTAAGAGTAAAACTGTAATGCCCACCTGCCGTAACACAATATGACGCTTTTTTTTAAGGGGGGAAAATCATCGCCTGGGTGAGGCGGGAGGAAGTGTCAGACTCTTACTGACTAAAAACCACCCCGTTCCTTCTTCTGTACGTCTAACCGGAACCCCGGTAACCCGTAAGGTTCTCCGCGACTCCGAATCGGCATCGGCCCTGTTGTGCCCCATTTGTGGTGGTCTGATGGCTCTTTGAGGCGCGCGCGGAACGCGACGCGCCATACGCTCGGGTCTGTTTCTGGTCGGACGGGGAGCCACCCATGCTCGTCGTCCGCAGCCCCGCGCTTACGGTGGCCAGAGATTGACCCGCGATCCCCGACGCCCGGTGTGTCCTTCGCGATGGCTGGGTTGCGAGGAGGCAGCGCTTCGCTGCCTCACGCGTCCCGCCTCCCCCTTAGCTAGCATAACTGCTTCGCAAAAGGAGGAGACGGCATCCCAGTCCCCCTCGCTCCGCATCATGACCTGCACTAGGCCCGGACGCGAGAGGTCGCCATCGACAATCATTGACAAGACACCCGGGCGTTTCCTCCCGCCCCATCAGATACAGATACCTCCCGAAACTTCCATGTCCGGTGAGGACCTGCGTCAGGGACAGAACTACTAAATAGTGGAGACTCGATTGCCATAGAAGAAAAAAAAGTTAATAAGTATGTAATTAATTATTTACAAGAGTGACAATTGGTCTGACAATAACAAATGACACTGTGACAATACAAATACTTAGTAATTTTTAGTTTTTATTTTTATTTTTACCATTAGTTCTAGTTTATTTAAGTTGTATATATTTAATTATGTATCTTCTTATTTTTATATTTCATTTATATAAAAATAATATTATATTACCTAGTTTCCTGACATTGACAATGTCATAATATCAAATTAGCGAGAATGCACTGTTTTATCTGTGGTTGTGGAATCAAACAAATGACGCTTTGTGAAGCGGTAAGTTTATATGTATATTTGTGTTTATATTTCTATATTTATGAAAGAAAACTCTATTTGGCGCTTTATTACGATCTTTAAATAGATTAATCTTGGACATAGGTAGCACAATTGGTGAATAACTTGTGTAACTAATTGTGTTTGGTAGTCACCACGCCCTACATTTTCAACCGCTGTTGAGCATTAGGCGCGGTCGTTGCTCACACAAAAACAGGTCTCAAAATTGATTCTTGACTGAGATTTTTTCTTCAACAGGTTGGCACCAGTGTGTAAAGAATGTCGGCACCTGAAATTAACGCTTACTTTACAGGGAACGGGACGTACAAGCCTATAAACCCGATTGTCTCGAAAGTTGGTGATTTCACGCCGTTTTACATTGCCATTGCAATCTGCTCGGTGATTCTCGGCTGTCTGATCATACTGAACGTGGTGTGCTGCTGTTCCAGGTACTCAGAATACTGGCTTGACAGACATACAGGTGAGTTTCACTTTGTAACTAGATCACTGTCCAACACAAGACTGTAGGTATGGCACTTCACCATAATTATGTGTAGACATCCTTAACAAACCTATAAATGTTTTCCTAGCAATCAATAGTGTTTTATGCTTCAATGTTGGATTTACCTCTCATCAGGGGCCTACCAAAACCTTTATGAAACAAACTTATAATAGAAAAGTTTTGTTTAATGCTTAAAACAATCTTAATCTATTTTATATCATAACTATTTACTCAATAATATTCTATTTCTGCTAAGTGATGATTACAAATTATTATAATAAATATTGTTTATTCCTTGCTAAGAAACGAAAAGAAACAGCTCTATAAATGCTGTGTGGCACTGTATCTTTCACGCATGTGTTCGGAATAACATCCTGGTCTCAGCACTATTTTGGTTTTTAAGCGGAAAAGTAACTTTGAAATTGTAGTATTGCATTTACAGATTATTAATATTTGTATTACACATTTAAAAAAATGTATTGAACCGTTGTTTACCTTGAACAAAGAAAAATACCATTTTACATTATTAATATTGAGGCTGAATATTCATCATATTAAATCGGACTTATTCAATAAATCCTAAGTGGATTTATTTGGTATGATTGTAAATAAAAATCAGCTTAATAGCGGTGATTTCCGAAATTTCAAATTTCTATTTTGAATTTCAAGTTTCATTTGTTAATGAACATATAAACATCACTTGTTTACACTTGTAACTGTGAGGAACATAACTTGGTATTCTAACACAGCAGTTATTGTGAAAACAAGGTAATTTAATTAACTTCTGAATCCCCAATTATGAAAAATCCACTACATTTGTTCATACAAAAGTAGTCTCTAAACATCGGAAATAAGGTCTATAATGGAATAAGTGGAAAGTGGTCACCGGTGACTACTTGGGGACTGGGCAGTTAATAGTAACTTGTAAAAAATTTAAACTAAAATTGGTGTTCTTATTATGTACTTACTGTAAGTGGCATATTATTATTGTAGTTAGTTATTTTGCTCCAGACGAGTTACGAATTTATCTGGGCAGCAGATTCTTGATTCTTTAGTTGTTGAATTCTATTAAAGACGTCCCATCCTCATTCAATTGACTGCTCCAGGCGAAAGAATATTCTAGGGGAAAGTGGAGTGAGTTTGCAGATATTCTCAATCCTCAAGGGGATGGAGCACATAAAGAAAGAAAGGATGCTATAAGGTAACTAAAATTTTTGCCACGCATTTATTATAATGTCTAAAAATTGAAATGTCAGTACATGAAATATTTTGTTTTAGTATTGAGTGGACTGTAAAGCAAAATTGAAGTCAAGACTAGCATATCCTAGGACTTCTCATGTTCAGTCTAGTGGAGGATCTTCCATCGAAAAATCATTGACAGAAATTGAAAGAAAATTTCTCCAAATACTCAGAAGTGATTTTGGTCAAGGTTTGCTCGGTATTCAAATGGAACCATTTCCTCAAGTAAGAATATTAATATGCATTAAGTAATTAATTTTATTTCCTATACTCATCATAACACACATTTATGTATTTTCTTTTCTTTTTAGCCTGCAGAAACACCCGAAGTCTTGGATGCAGTTATGCAGGAAGAATCTACAGCTTCAGTGTCCATTTTAGCCATGGAACCCATCCTAGATCTACCCTTAACTTCTTCACAAAATGTGGAGCATGTTTTCATTCAGTCAACCCACGAACCATTTAGTGATAATCCAACTGAAGCCAGTCGACCAGCTCAATCTCTTGTTACTACTACTGCAACCCGCTCCTCACGGCGCCGGCGAGGGCGACGCCAGTCTCGCCAGCCGCTGATGTCCCAGGAGGCTGCGAGGCGTGCCCTCGTTCAATCTGCACAACTACGCGCTGAAGCTACAGTAAGAATTGCAGAGTCGTTTGAGCGAATGGTTCAACTATCAGACGAGTTCAAAAACACTCTAAGGAGAATTGAAAGGTAAAAACTACATATTTAGTAATAATATTCGTTTATTAAAAATTGCGGATATGATTTGTATATAAACAACTAGCGACCCGCCCCGGCTTCGCACGGGTGCAATGCAAAATATACCTACTACAGAATGTCCTTATACACAACGTTCACAGCTTTTTTGTCATTAGCCAATACAAACATGTTTTGCTTAGACGTTACTCTTGACAGCGCGACATATAATTGGCCATGTGAAAAACCCTCAACACTCAAGTCTAATCCTGCAACGTTAAAAGTTTGACCCTGCGATTTATTAATGGTCATTGCAAAAGATATCTTTACCGGAAATTGTAGGCGTTTAAATTAGAACGGTAAATCTGATGGTATCAGAGGAATTCGGGGCTTCCAAGAAATATGGTTTTAAGGTAATCCTATCTAACCTAATGTACTTTCAATACTATTAATATAATAATAATAATAAAAATTAAAAGATAATCAACAACAAAAGATACTTATTCTATTCAGTTTAATTAATTCTTGATATTCTCCTCGCTAGAGAGCTCCGATAAACGCGTGCGATCACTGCAAATCATAAAGTACTATAAGGCGAAGCGCGGCCATCGAAGCGCTATTTATAGGCACGCGCCGCCCGGCGCAAACAACTACGACCCTGCATTTTAAATTTGTAATATCTTCGGTAATATTCACTTAAATTACATGCTTTAAAAAGCATATTGATCTATAATAAATGCACAATTTATTTAAGGTACTTAATTGGATAAGGATTAATGCTGTATTGTTTAAAATCACTTCGTAAATAACCATTTTTTAGTAAAGAATAAAAATGGTTATGCTGGGTTATCCCTAAGAGATAGACATATACCATCGCGGACTTTTTTGTTGAAATTTTTAAGGTGAACAATACTGTAGTATATTATTTTGGTCTATCTCGTAGGGTTTAGCCAGCGTTTGCAATATAAGCGCAAAAAAACGTGCTTATTTACGACATCACATCAGAAACCTTTAAATTTATCAGTGTTTCTCTACTATATTATGCATTTATTATACATACAAACCTTCCTTAAGAATCACTCTATCTATTAAAAAAAACCGCATCAAAATCCGTTACGTGGTTTTAAAGATCTAAGCATACATACGGACATACAGCGAAAGCGACTTTGTTTTATACTATGTATTGATTCTACGATTAAATATAATATTTATACTATGTAACTCAATGTATTGATAAATTTAATAAATTAAGGTAACAGACAAGCCAGCTGGCAGTCTGACCCCCATTGTTTAGTCATTATGTTTCATTATCAAAAGATAATTATTTACAAATAGAACTTATACATGTTTGAAAATTAGAAATGCAATAACCTAGATTTTTTTTTTGTTTTAGGATCATAAGGGCGGCCTTTCCCTCAGACGCTGAACAAGAGAACTCCTCATAGCTATACCCTGCTGATAAACAATGTTAGAAAAAAATGTTATCACATAAGTTAACTACATTTGTATTGTATTGTTTTAAATTACCTACTAATATTAATTTTAAATGAATAAAAAGACTCGTACTTATGTTAGTTTAATCTTTATATATATATAATTCTGCTGTACATGTGTATGTCATTAAACTCCTCCTAAACGGCTGGACCGATTTAAATAATTTTTTCTGTGTGCGTTTGGACGGCACCATGGATGGTTTAGATTCACAAATCAGCCCGGCAGATGGCGCTGCAGTCATTAACTAGGTTATTTATCTATACCTTTTATTATGTTATCTATCTCTTTATTATGTTATCTATCTCTTTATTATGTTATATGCAGGACAATGTCTGTCTGGTCCGCTAGTTACAAATAAAATTTAAAGTTTCTTTGTTTTCATCAACTCCCTCGGTTGAGAGCTAAGTACAATTATTTATATAGAATAGAATAGAATAATTATTTACTAGCTCAGAATGCAGGTTAACAATAAGGTGATATTAAAACACTAATAATATGGTGTCCTTGTGAATTTTACCATTTTGGCATGCAAACACTGATGCAGGTTCATCATCAGACATATTATGACACAGATACAATTTGTCAGGTAATCAGATACAGAGTAATAAAATTTATTTAACAAGAGTGTTGAAAGTTTCTTTTAAAAAATTGTAATTGGGTCATTTTTATTGAATTATGAATGTGGTTAAAAATAGTGATAACATGTAATAATAATAAGTTAATGCATTCCTAGAACGGTAGAACCAAATGTGCTCATTGTTGCTTGGTGCTTCCATGTGAGCTTTTAGTAGAGGGTGATTGGCCAATATAAACGAGGCGTGTGTTGCACCTTTACGACTAGCATCCACACACTTATAATTTGCATCACTGAGTCACAAATCTGAAACGAAAATTTGAATTTATAAGGTAAACACTTGATGTGAAGGGATATAGGTTTCATTTTCGTCAAACTGAAACAATAAATATTTTTTTTTTTATTATACAAAGTATAAGTTGTATTTAAAAAAAAGTCAAAAGTCAAAATCATTTATTTCAATTAGACCAGGAAGGCACTTTTGAACGTCAAAAAAAATATTAAAATATTAAATGATTTAAACAATTTAATAATATTATAATAATAATAATTATTATTATTATTCCATATATTTATTTCAAAATTCTCTATAAAATACATTTTTAAATACTACTTATAAAGACAAAAATAATATTTAAAAATATAAAAAATAGGAGCCGACCAGTAGCGGGAGCATGGTCCAAGCTACCGGTGGTTAGGGCTCCAGAGACAGAAACCTCCTCACGATACGTGCCGTTTCAAGGAGAACTGCCTTCTGTATCAGGCCCTTGACCCAACTACCTAACGCTAGCCTCCTAAGGTGGTTGTCGAGGCTATTAGGGATTAACCCATTGGCCGATACGACTATCGGCACAATGATAGCCGAATCTACATTCCACATGTCGACAACCTCGTGAGCCAAATCAAGATATTTGATTTGTTTATCTTTTTCAGCTTTCACGAGGTTCTCATCATGAGGAATAGTGATATCGATTATCATCGTGCGGCGCACTTGTCGGTCTATCACCACTATATCAGGTTTGTTGGCTATAATAGTCCTGTCAGTGATGATAGACCGGTCCCAGTACAACGTGATATGGTCATTTTCCAGAACTGGGTCGGGCACATACTTGTAGTACGGTACCTCAGACTCAACAAGTCGATAGTGTAAAGCAAGTTGCTGATGGATAATCTTGGCTACTTGATTATGCCTATGCAAATATTCACTGTTAGCCAAACGACCACAACCAGAAATAATATGTCTAATGGATTCACCAGGACTATGACATGCCCGACATATGTCAACCGTCCCATCCTTAATTATATATTTCCGGTAGTTATTCGTAAGGATAACTTCGTCCATAATTGCACAGACAAATCCTTCAGTTTCTCCAAAGAGATTACTGAATCGTAGCCAAGACACGGACGCTAGAAAATCTACACTGGGCCCATGAAGGGCCCGGAAGAAGCGTCCGTGGAGCTCCTTGCTATGCCATATCTCCTTGCGATCATTGACGCTCAGTACCACAGGTTTGCGCCAGTTCTCTTTTGCCAAGGATAGCGGAGTGAATCCATTGTCCACCGCTGCTACTTCTCGATGCATACCCTCGTTGACTTTCAGGAAATATTCCCTGAGGCTGCACACCTCACGGTTGTGAAGGGTCTTAGCATTTAATAAGCCTCGACCACCACACTTCCGCGGGATGTACAACCTCATGACCGACTAACGAGGGTGATGCATGCGATTTGCAGTCAGCAGGGTCCGGACTCGCCTATCCAGGGTGTCAAGTTCAGTTATTATTATTATTATTATTATTTAATAATATTAAAGAAAAAATGTCAGTCTTTAGGTCAGTCCTCTAGTGAAGCTATTTGCCCGTTCCAAAGTGTAGATTACTATGGAGAAGAACGAGCAAGAAACTCCATAGGTTACTCTTTTTCAATCATGTTCACATTGCAATTTTTGGTTACAATCTTTCGTTGAGAACAATGTAATACCAATATTTGATCAAGGAGACGGAAAAAGAAAATAACCTTAAGGACAACAAATTTAATACAGTCTGGAGCTGACCAGTCCCATTTGACAGCGCCTGTTCACGAACATGACACGTACCAGCACCGCCCAACTCTACCATGTTGTAGGGAATCGAGCAATCCACTGCCCGTGCCACTGCCAATGAGACTTTTGAGTGAGCATGACAACTCCAAGCTGACACACGTGCATTCTACTAGTCTAATTTAATTTAGTTAGTTACAGGGCTCTCACATTTACAATAATTATATTAAGTTTTACAGTGTACATTTGAACAAAAATGGCTGTATTTTTACATGATTGGAACTCATTGGAACATCAATGATTTTCGCTATCCTGTGGTGCCGGACCAGCCTGCCTCCAAGCATTTTTATCCTCTATGTATATTCACTTTTTTTTATAAGTTTTAAAGTTGATACACTTACTAATTGAACATTCAAATAATGATAGTTTTTGCGGCAAAAATAATGCTCTTCATATTGTGTGAGCCGTACTATATGTAGGTACTATGTGTACATGTGAGCGATCAATGTAGCCTAAACATCCCTGTATACCAAATTGCAAAATCTGTAACCAATGATTTACAATTAAATAGAACATTACTAGGAAAACACATGTAGGTATGGCATATAAAACAACTTGTCCTATACTGTTTAACTCGTCGAGTACCGGTTTTGTAGACACAATTATAGAACAATAGGTTGCGGTCACCGGTGACCGCTTGGTGTTTGACAGTTTAAATACTACATGCTAGGAATGAAAGATTAAATTTTATATTCATCTAAACATATCATATGTGTACCTAGTCCTCCTTTCCGATTTCGGTAACGGCGACCCTTAGCCATCTCCTGTCGTGTGCCTGATGTGGCGGGCCAGACCGAATTAAGTTTCGAATATCCGATCACAGCTAGAGCAGTAAAGCTGGTCGGCAGAATTAGACCTGTAAGTGTAGGAGCGTTTATATAGGATCAATTAAACATAAAAGGGGTTCAAACTGAATGAGACGCCAATGTGTGAACGCCGTTTGTGGAGCGCATCAAGATCCTTTAATTAATGTGCGCACTAAAAACCGACAACTTGTTTGACCGGCCAATGTTGGCACCGACACCGACCGCCAAGCGGGTAGGCCTCGAAACGTTGGCTCAACATAGTGGCCCAATACTTGACTCAATGTGTACAGCTACCTTAAGATTTAACATGAAAACGACACGGCTAAGCGTCACATCAACTTATAGTACGTTTTCAATACTTTCAATGAACGATACGTAGGTGATCAAAACTGCAAAAAAGTAAGATTGTTTTAGAACTTCTTATAAGGCTATTTTTAAGACGTGGTACGAAAATACAAAGTAAGATTATAATAGGACTTTTTTAAGACGTTGTGGTAGCCCCCTGATGAGGTAACACAATCATTGAGAAAATTTAAACCATTTTCCATAATGTCATTAAGAGTATTGAATGACATTTTATTCATTGAAGTCATCAAACTTAAAGTACATAGTTTTCTAAGTTGATAATCATCATTTGCTTATATCAGGTCTTGTACTTTACAGGTAACCGCTGGATCGTGTCAATCTGGTCGGCGACTCCACACAAGCAGCCCCCACTGGACTTCACAGAGCTCGAGAGCAACTTCCAACAAGTTCACTACGAGCATCCGTACGCAGAAGACAGTGAAGAGTACCGTGACGTGCACAAACATAGCGTTCCACCGTCAGTGTCGCAGCAGCCACTGACTTCTTCCCAGGAGTACTTGGAGTTGCACAAGAGGGAAAGTGACATTTAGAATGGCGTTCTTAATGCTTTATCCTGCAGTAGCAGTTCTCTCTATGTTCGTACTGATGGTTATCATATTAATTCTAAGATTTGGAGCTCGCTGGTGCAAGCTCCGTCATAATACACTGGCTGACCAAGAATATTGGAATGAGGATGATGCATATGAACAAAAAGTTTCATATGCATAAGTTTTCTTTTTTTTTATAATTTCTTTTTTACTAATATTCCTCGTGTGTCATTGCATGCAGAGATACTTGTGTCAATTAGGAAATCAGTATTTCAATGTCCAATAGGTACTTATTATCTACATTCCCAGTTTATACACTTTATTTTACCTATGGTAACTATTATTTTGTTTGTTCATGAACCCGTCCAACTAAAGTCCTATAGACTTATTATTTTATTGGTTTAATGTAATTCTTCAATTTTTTTTATGTTATACCAACATTATGCTGTTTTTATAATAACAAACTTTTTTATATTCTATTTATATGTTTAAATACAGAGTGTTTTTATAATTACGATTTTAATATATTATATCTACCTATCTCTTTTGCCTTATAGTGTATTAGGGTAAAATTTTACATAGAATATATAAATAGGGTAAAATTTTCACACTAGTTGTGTACTTTTATTATATTATAAAATCTAAAAATGACTGTCTATATGTAGTATGTTTAACAATAATTATATAATGTTATCTAGACTTCATTAGAAATGTAAGTTTAATCTTTATGTCAATGAAATGGTATTTTTAGTGTAATAGAATCAAGCATTTCTCGAATATTGCGTTTGAAAACGACATGTAATCCGTCCAATAAATTAAGTTTAAGTACTAATTAACTTCTTTGTTTCATTTCACGCCATGGGCGTCACCACCAGTGACCGACGTTACCAGAGAACTGTTTATTATTGGCAGTCAAAGGCTTAAACTGATCACTTGTCAAAGGTTTCGCTGCCATCTGACTGACTGCATTACAATAACTGCACGCAGTTATGATATCAACTTACACCATTGCTTGTTTGCAGTTGTATGGTGTTGATTTTAAACTGTTATGTCGATATAACCAACTTTATGCTGCTGATGGCAGTGTGTGTAGACGTGAGAGACACGTGAGAACATAACGTAACATCACGACTTTTACCTCCAAAAGGGTGTACATTACGGCACTTAATTATGTTTTTTTTATGTTATGAGTTTTTCACTATTTATGTTATGAGTCCCATGTTAGGAGGTAAGCCTATTCCCATAATTATATTGGGTACAATTCCAGACTCCGTGCTACTACCGAGATTTACTTTTTATAGGTACCTACTTAAAGAGTTTCGGTAATATAAGATACGAAAAATCAATCTATCTAAAGTTCAAATTGTTATGGTAAATACAACTACCCATACTTACCTAAAATTACTATCTTTTTCGACATTCTCGACTATTCTATCGAGAAAGTTTCGAAGCATCTTACGATACCTACATTTTGCCTGTGGTAGTCCACATCTGGACTGTGTGCCTCTACAAACAAGCAACTAAGCAAATATACAAAAAACCAAAATAATACATGAATTATTATGTATTATTATGGTCTTTTATTGCAGAATTTAAAAATTTTGTAGATACAGAATATGATAAAACTCCGCTTAACCATTTCAAAGATCTAGCAAAACCAAAAACGTTACCCCAGCAAAATCTCGAATAACTTCGCAACCGATGAAAGAACAAATACAAAATAAGGCACAACATTTACTTCATCTAGACAACTAATTTTATAGCTAGTAATTATGTATTTAAATATTTCCATTAGAAAGAAAAAGGTCTGGCTGGGGTAGCGTTACGCCAGCAGGAAATGTTTTTTGTGAAATAATTAAAAACTATAAGCGCAACAAAATTTAAAAATGTGCGCAACAATTACAGAAGTCGCAAAACTATATCTATAAGATTCAAATGATCATTTTCGACAACATCTGGCCTGGGTAACGCACACGTCCTGACATGGTACCTACTGTAAGGCGCTGTCTCCACGAGCGAGAGAATCGCGGCGATATTATCGCCGTACCACTATTTTCTATACACTCTATGGAACCGTCTCCACACGGTGATATTATCGCCGCGATGCGACGAGTGGCAACGAGCGCGTAAAACGTCATTACATCGTCGCTAGCCCGCCGCGACTAGCAACGCGACCGCCGCGGGCTCGCGTCGCTCTCGCGACGAGCACGCGGCGGGCGCGCTGTCAAACGCAGCGTCATTTCAGCATTGCCTCTCGTTAAGCAAAGAGGTTTCTAGAAGCTTTTTAAGAAACGTAAGCTTTTTTTTGACGTCAATGAAACGCGGCGATACCGTTACGAGTCGCCGCGGAATCGCCGCCATACCGTAACGACTCGCGACGATACGCGGCGGAATTATCGCTCGTTCGTGGAGATTATCCGACGATATAAGGGGACTCGTCGCGATCCTCTCGCTCGTGGAGACAGCGCCTAAGGGTTATGGTCCAACCAACTCTCTTTACCTTCTGGCCTGCAATTATTATTTATTATGCAGGATGTCGACTGCCTCGTTGGCCGAGTGATCGCAAGTTCGACTGCCGGGTAAGAGTTCTCGGGTTTGATACCCGGGTCACGCAAAGTATTACAGGGTTTTAAAAAAATATCTCAGTTGGTAGAAGTACGGAGTCTGAAATTGTGCCTGGTGTATGGCAATAGGCTCATCCCTTATTACATGGGACTAATAACAAAAATAGTGAAAAGTGGGTGTTACGTTGTAGAGGTACAATGGCATTAAGTGCCATAATGTGCACCTCTGCCTACCCCTTCGGGGATAAAAGGCGTAATGTTATGTTTATGTAATACAGGATGTTATGTAAAAATGCTTTCGTTAGTGAGAACGAATTCACGGGCAAGGTGGATATGAACCCACCAAGCGATAACAAAGTCGCCACTGAGAATAAACTGACCAAGAAATAACAAATGGCTCCGCCAGCAAGAACAACCTTACCAGCGGGAACAAACAAACTCAAATTCTTCTGATTATTAAGGTAATGGAAAAAAACGCTTATGATATGTAAATGTTTATGTCATTATAAATAGGAGATACATACATACAATTATTACATTCGTCTATTTAGGTATTGATTTCTTTCAGTATAATAAAGGTTATATTACATAAAATATTACAAATATCAACACTGTCGGTTCAAAAGTATATGTCACTTAAATACATAGAAGAATTACGTAATGAAACAAATTTTGGTGTCTCTGTTTGAAAAGTTTTATCTGTTTTTGTTCTTGATCAGTCGACAGGACAAACGCCGACGTGTGTGTTTCGTCCTGCGGCTGTGAGTGGTATTTTGAGGGGTGTTTCTCCAATCACGATCTTTCTGATGCAGCCGGTGAAGCCACGGCGCGAGCGCACGCCGCGCAGCTTGTGCAGAGGGCGCTCGTGGCCTCCGATGTACAGCGCGGACCGGGTGTCAGTCGACGAGTACGCGCCCATTCCTGGCTTCGAGAAGTGACCGTCCACACCGACCGACACTACGTACAGCGATTTCACCACTGGAAATAATAATAATAAGTGTGAATAATGTAAATTAATAAGTACACGGTTGGTATAGCTGGGGGGTTGCCCAAATAGCTGTACTGTTGTGGGTTTAACTCCCGCACTCTTTTTGTGATCCATAATTGTTGTATCGGGTCTAAATGTTCTAATCTATTCGCGGCACAACAATGTGTTTGTGATGTTGTGTGTTTGTAGACGTGCCTCACTATGTGTAGGTACCTATAAGAGAACATCCTAATATGTTATAGTAATGATAATTAATGTTAGTATTCATTATTCCAATGTTTTTCGAAATGTATAAATGTAGCTCCTCTTCAATTGGGATTGGTTTTATCAAATATCTTTAAATGTGAATTTAAAAAATATTATATTATTATATCAACAATCTTGGAAACGGGTTCATTGATTTTCTTGACATTTTGTTTTTCGTTTGTTTCGGGGGCGATAAATCAATCAAGCTTGGTTTCATTTTCAGAAAATATCGTTTTGCCCGTGTTTTTACTGAATAAAAATCCTTATTAGAATACGAAGCTAAATTTTGCTTTTACCTACCTACATAAGAAGTTAAAATAGCTTATTAGGGAAAGTGGACGCCTTCTATGCATCGCTAAGTAACGAGTCACGGGTTCGATGTTCGATTCCCGCTATTAAAATGTAGGTATTTGTGTGATCAGTAAAATAAATTATGGCGTACTTATTAGACAGTTAGCTTACCGTGAATCTTATGCCAGTTGCCATCACAGAGCGCGAACTTGTTGCCGAGCGAGTAACTTGCTCGGAACGGTCCGTTGCCGTTCTCAACATTGGCAACTACTTCGTTCTCCAGGAGTTCCAGAACTAGATAGTCTTTCTTGCCGTGGACACTGAGGAGCAGACCCGTGCTGTTACGCGGACGAATCTCCATCGATATAGAAACTTCGTCACCTACTTTGAAGTATTCAAGAAGCTGCAACAAAACAATATGTTACTTATTGTAAATAGTTGCGGACTAGCTCACTGACTTTTATATAGACTCAATTCTATTACTGAGAATTGTCCAAAATCGGAAAGACAATAAAATTAACCTTGACCCACTCGTCAATAAAAAGACAACAGAACAAACACTGCTGAATTTCCTTGTGCGAAGTGCTAAGAAGTGAAATTTATTTACAGAGTCCGCATTCAGAAAAATACAGCTTGGGTGTCTTTCAAGTCTCGAGTCATCATCATCATCATCATCATCATCAGTCATCGAGATCATTGCTTATAACCAAGCGAGATAGTGTCCAAACACCATTCATTACAATAATACCAATAATATTTTTAAAACGCACCTTCAAGTAGTTGCTCTGCATGTTAGTGGACGCTCCGAAGTATACTCCATCCTCCACGTTGTCGGAGCAGCGCAGGGAGTTGACTCGGTACGACACGTCGGTCACGTGCTGCCCGTTCATCATCAGACCCTTCAGGCAACCCTTGAATGGCTGGTAGAAGCCCTGCATACCGAAAAAATTTATGAGAAATTAGATTTAGATTTTTGTAGAATACTGATAAGCAATTAAGGTCTGCTAAACTATGCCATTATTTGAATAAAATGAAAAAAGAATTGACTGTACGGTTGGCGCGGTGGCTGGGCGAATGATTGCCGTGTAACGTGTGGCGGGTTTCCGCATGAAACTGTTTATGTGATCATGTGTATGTGAACTTGTATGTTTGTAAACGCAACCACGACACAGAAGAAAATCCTAGTCAGGGACAATGTTTAAAAAAGCAAGTAGGTACTTACATAAACCTATTGGTAAGAAAAATTTTGACAGCATTGATAACAACCAATAATGAACCGATAGTGACGCCACGTACCTGAAGATTATTGAGGATGTTCTGGTTGAGGTCCCTGAGACCTCCATAGTAGAAAGGCGCGGCGAGTG